CATGTGTATTCGTGACAGATTATAAATACACACACACATACATGTGTATTCGTGACAGATTATAAATACACACACACACATGTGTATTCGTGAAAGATTATAAATACACACACACACATATGTGTATTCGGGACAGATTATAAATACGCACACACGTGTGTATTCGTGACAGATTATAAATACACACACACACATGTGTATTCGTGAAAGATTATAAATACACACACACACATATGTGTATTCGGGACAGATTATAAATACGCACACACGTGTGTATTCGTGACAGATTATAAATACACACACACACATGTGTATTAGTGACAGATTATAAATACACACACATGTGTATTCGTGAGAGATTATAAATACTCACACATATGTATATTTATGACAGATTATAAATGCACACACACAAGTGTATTCGTAACAGAGTATATGCTACTTTTTGCTAATAATTATTCCATGTCATGGTGATACGTAACATTCTTGTTAGTATCCACAACACTCGTTTCAGTAAATCTGGGGGTAACATAATTTAAGACTCTTTCCAAACACACACATGGAAATATCTAAATAGTGATATTTTGAATTATATCGACTTAGCGACATGTTGAACATTATTCCCATATTTTACAGGGAAAAAAAATAACAGTTGAATGTTTTAATACTGAACGGAGTGTCACGTGTTTTGTGTGAAAAACAACAATATTTCAACAGTTAAGTGTTTTGTGTGAAAAACAGCAATATTTCAACAGTTAAGTGTTTTGGTTTAAAAGAAGTAGAAGAAATCCACATGAACCCAGTTTGGTCCTCCCCATTAGTTGGTATTCAACTTTGTGGACTCTATTTCACATTTGTTTAAAGTTTGACTTTTAGAAGCCCTTTCACCATTCAAGAACCGGAGCTGTTTAAATCTGAACTAAATCGAAGAGATATTTCAGTGTTCAAGTCCTTCAGGTACTTGGTCCACATTGAAGCACCCATTAAAAGAAAGCTTGCTTGGTTCATATCTTTGTAAACACCATTCACTCTGGGTGTAAGATAAACTTGTCAATCGGCATTAAGTGCTAGCCCCACGGGTTTTTGTGTAATTTTAAAGAATCAGTCTTCTCTCGTTACCCCCTTGAGATCTTCCTTTTACTATATTAATGGGCACCGCTTACAAAAAGAACACCCTTTACTTAACAATTCATCTTCTTGCACGCTCTCACGACCCGCGAGAACTTCTAGTCTCTAAAGCACGTGAACTGCTCAGATCTTGTAGTGTTCAAACTGCAATGTCCTATATGGAATAGTAGTCCTCAAGCTGCTTATGCTTTCTATATACACCAATTGTATCTCCTATTGAGAAACGAACGTTTCATTCATTAATATTTACAGCCTTGGTTATTAAAGTGCTTTTAGTGAGTGACCCCATTCAAAAGGCGATTCAGTGGTTAATAAAATATATATCAAGTTAGACTTACCCACTCTAAATCCACGTAAAAATATTATCGCTGGTCAGGTGATCTGTTGAGGACGTTAACTCCGTACACACAAAAAATGAGGGAAAACTTTGCAGAACATTGACGTCTCCATAATATAAACTAAAACTTCGTAAATCTTGTCTTTTAGTATTATTATTATAATTTTGTGACACCAAATCTTCAAAGAATTATTGTCTTTACCGTACACATTTCTTGTACGTTTTATACCTACCGATACGGTGATAAAATATGACATAATTTGTGTATGACGAAAATGGACACTTAAAAAAAATGAAATACACGTAGCCTTCAGCACAAGTAATTCCCGTAATACTAAATTTTTACAATAAAAGAAATTTGCAGCGCAATCTAGTGACAATGAGATGAACTAAACTAATTTGATATTCACAGTTTAAACAAGTTATCACTCCATATATAATTACCTAGAGAGAAAACATGAACAGACTCTTTATATCACAAACTGTCCCTAAGAACATATCTACATATCTACAGACTCCTACACATCGCATATTGTCTCTAACGGATATATACAAGCCCCTGTATGTCATATTTTGTCCCTAACGAACACATAGTTAGTCCATTATGTTGTACATTATTAACAGATTCTTGTACACCTCTTACTGATCTTAATAAACAAATACATAAGCCCTCGTATATCTAGCACAAATATATAAGCTTTTGAATAACATATGCTATCCTTAGCGAATAAATATTGACTCCTGTATATTGCAAGCTGTCTCTAATGAATCATAGATACTCCTGTATATCGCAAATTGTCCCTAATGAAACATAGATACTCAGCTGCTCCTAATGAAACATACATACTCCTGTGTATCGTAAATTGTCCCTATTGAATCATAAATACACAGCTGTCCCTAGTGAAACATACACACTCAGCTGTCCCTAATGAAACATACATACTTAGCTGTCCCTAATGAAACGTACATACTCCTGTGTATCATAAATTGTCCCTAATGAAACATACATACCCCTGTATATAGTAAATTGTCCCTATTGAAACATACATACATACAGCTGAGTAGTTGTCCCTAATGAAACATACATACTTAGCTGTCCCTAATGAAACGTACATACTCCTGTGTATCATAAGTTGTCCATAATGAAACATAAATACACAGCTGTTCCTAATGAAACATACATAGTCAACTGTTACTAATGAAACATACATACTTAGCTGTCCCTAATGAAACATACATACTCCTGTGTATCATAAATTGTCCCTATTGAATCATACATACTCAGCTGTCTCTAGGAATTCGCTATATTATTTGTTTATTTTTAATTCTAATTCATATCGTTTGGTGTTATCTGAGTGCAAAACTACACAACGGACTACACAACGGACACTGGACTTTCTACCAACCCACCAGAGGACAGCTTTCTTCGACCATAAATTATACATACTTTTAAGCATCGCGTACACACATATACTCCTAAATATCTCCTCTTGTCCCTAACAAGCCTATGTTAACACACTGGTTTTCAACAAGTAGAAATAGGCCCTATATTTGTAAATATAAAACGTACTGAAAATATCTACCAGAACAATGGGTTTGTTTGTTATTAAGCACACAGTGGGTTATCGGTGTCCACCGCGGGTATCGGAACTTGATTTTTAGCATTTTAAGTCCTCAGACTTACCGCTGAGCCACCGCGGGGAGGGGGCAACACAATGGAAGGTATTTGAACAAATAATTTACTCTTGGTATATATATGTATATATAATTCCAGATAGATGTGAGTAATGTTACTTTATATATATATGTGTGTGTCTCGAGAGAGAGTGGGGGGAAGGGGATTATTTCCTTGTACAAGTATGTAGTCGCATAATAACCGTTAAGAAAGTTGTGTGTCAATAAAAATAGAAACACATTTATTTAACCCCTACCTGAGTGAAGTTGAGGCCGTTGAGCGGCAGACACTGTTCTTCGGGATGCTCCACGGCGCCCGTTCGTTTATTCAGCTTCTCAGCTTCCTGAGCAAGATAAAGGTCCAACACGGGTATTCCTCGTGACTTGACGTCACTTTCAGTTAAAGAGTTCACCATGAGCATCACCCACACAGGTCGTTTCCTTTCCCAATTAAAAGTCATCATGTTGAAAACGTAATCTGCGTACAGTCCCCGATTTCTCTGGTCTGCAGTCAGCCACGAGGGTAACATGACTTTCACGTATTCTAAGTGACTTTTCAATCGTCTATACAGTTCTTTCGGGAGTACATCGACCAAATTCTTGCCCTGCGGAAGTAGTTGGCAGTTACTCAGAGCGCTAAACGTGTAAGGATCCATCAAATCTAACTCAAAGAACACGTTGTCAGATTGCTGGAAGGCATGTTTGGCACTGGCGGGAATGTGATCCCATACCCTCGTGTAAGGAACATGAATCGTACCAAAGAAATATGAAGGCGGATCCTTATTGACAGACCACAGAAACGACATGGGACCTTCCTGCTGTAAAGAAAGAAAGCCTGAATACTAGTTGTCTTAAATATGATTAGTTAACTTGTGAAGGAGTTAACGTAATGGATTCTATATTTTTTTTTTCAAATGGGCAAAAATATTGAAAATATATATATAAGATATATGTGAAACGAGAACCTGAAATAACAATGTCATGAATAGTCCGTAAATTAAGTTCACACGTCTAGGAAACAAGAACCAATACAACACCACTTCTTGGAAGTGAAAAAAGTAGTTTCTCTAATCAACTACATCATTTCCTTGTTACCTAGCTACACCAGTTCTCAGTCTCTGACGTTAGGCTGCCCAAGACGACTTCTTTTTACATTGGTTACCAACAAATTTAAACTTACTTTATGTTATTCATCTCGGACCGTCATCTAGCTACAAACACAATCCTTAATAGTTACTTATTCAGTTATCATTAATTTGAGTAAGATATGTTCTTTACAAACGAACATTTACTGGTATTGGTATTTTCCACCTGAAGAGCACTTTACCTGATAAATATGACCAGAGGGAAAGTAACCAACCAGCAGCACCCGCCGTCTTTGCAGCTACCCTTAGACGAATAGTGAGACTGACTGTCACTGTTATAAATCGTCCGTAGTTGAACCTGCAGAGCATATTCAGCAGTACATCGCGACTCGAACCTTAAACCTTCCGTTTCATAGTCAAATTAAACTGACCAATAGGCCATGCCGGGCGAATATTTACTCAGAATATCTAAGTATTTTAACAAAGGCTAATTCTAAAAACACATAGTAAATCACTCTCTATAGCTTCTGCCGGTATATTTATAAATCTGGCTCAGTTTTACGATTTAACTGTTATTTATATCAATTATATAAGCCCCCCAGTGAGACAGCGGTATGTCTGCGGACTTACAACGCTAGAATCCGGGTTTCGATACCCGTGATGGGTAGAGCACAGATAGCCCATTGTATAGCTTTGTGCTTAATTACAAACAAAACAAAAAACAACAAACTATAAATACAACGACAGACAAAGATGGATTTAGGGGAGAGCGACCAGGACGTTTGTCCAAAGCCCACGTTAAAATATATGTACATTTTAGACTCGCTGTTTCAAAGTTTGAGATACAATTCACATGCTTTTTAATCGCCTTAACTAAATGATGGCGGCCTACTGGTCACGCGCACGCAGAAAGGAAGATGGCGAAAGAGAGAATAACAGATACAAATGGATAAAATTAACGGTGCAGAAACGAGAAGAATGTAAAAACAAGTCAGTGAAATATGCCTACTGGAAAAACATCCCGAGATTGTCAAATTTTAGTTTTAAATCCCATAAAGGTGATGAAGCAACGACAACAAATGAACCTGAACATCCTATGGACGAGAGTTTTGTCAATATTATGGTTTAATAGCTAATTGTGTCATTATTGTATTATATATTGGTTAATCACGAGAAAATATTGGAGGGTTTATCTAAATTAGGTTTGGTTTGAAGTTAAGCACAAAGCTACACAATGGGCTATCTGTTCTCTGCCCATCACGGGTATCTAAACCCGATTTCTAGCGTTGTAAGTCCGCGGACATACCGCTGTGCCACTGAGACCTTTAAATTAGGTTTCACAGTCATTTTTTTTTATTAATCATTATGTTTCACATTGTTATCTATACATATATATATATATGTATAATGTCTGCTCTGTATCTCCTGAACGGTTAACCGTAGAACATATATATATGTGTATTAGGTCATCAAGAAATTAATGTCGCGTTTTGGAACACTTTCATTAACCACCACCACCACCCAAAATTTACATCACGTATAATAGTTAAACGAACCGCCTAAACGTCACGTTAGTGTAGTCCATATAATGTGTA